CAGTTATAACAAATGCAGATTTACAAATTGAAATGGAATATGTATCTTTTTAGAAAGGCTGAGGAAAATACCGCTTCAGGTTTAGCCCAAGAGCCTAAATGTGCTTGATTAAAGGTAATACAGCTGAATACAGCTCACCAGAGAGAGGTGTTGCACAGACTTTTTAGTCCAGCAAGTTCAGAATGGGTGAAAACTTCAATAATAATAACTTATATGCAGTCAAGGATGAAGGAGTTTCTGAAAGCAGTGTTAGACGTAAGATGAAGAAGGCTGGGTTTTGTGAATGGTTCAAGGGACTCTCCTAGCTGGGCTTGGCTTGATGCAGCAGTGACTCTGTTGAATCCTGAGCCATGGAGCAGGTTTTTGAACAAACACTGGTGACAGTGGCAATAGTGCAGAGTCATGAACTTCACAGCCAAAGTGCAGAGGTTGACATACAGCTCTGCTGTGTTTTGGTTGGCCATTAGACAACTGCTTTTCCCCTTGGTAGTTGATGGTTTAACCTGGGCTGATTTATTGTGTGCTTTGTTTTCTTTAGCTTTTTCTTGTTAAAGCTTAAAGAAGTAATTTTTGCCTTAGGTTTGCTGTGACTTTTTAAGAAAGAACACAGCCTGAACATTGACAAAATCATCTTTGCTTTGCTGTGCGCCTGTTTATGCTTCCGAACACAAATTGTCTTCTAATATTTTTGACGTTTTGGTCACTAGAGAGGCAGAAAAGCAATTTCTAAGATGCCTATGGGCCAGAAGACATGCATTACAGCAGAGGGGAAAGAATCTGTTAGTTGCTGAAATATAAAACAAATTGGATGAACAGCTGCTGACACTTGTCAGTCAAATAGTTGATAGCATTTTCAGTCTCCATGCCACATGCTTTTAAGTAAGTCTGTCAAAAAAAGGATATTTTCGCTGGACTTCCCTGTAAATATGAGAGAAGTTTTGGCCTGATCTATCATTTAAAATTTTGCTGGCAGAGGAATGAAATTTTCCTCTTTCCCCAAAACTGATTGACATAACTGTACTGGCAGATTCTTCATCTAGGTGCAGTTGTACTGGCAGAAAGTCCTTTGACTGTTGGAGCTTGTTCTGTCGCAGCAATGGATTGAAGTGAACAAGCAGCAGCTCTTTGCATTCCTTGTCCGGCTTTGCCAGAGCTCCCATCCGTCCGCAAGCCCTTTTAGGTGCTGCCCGAGCTTTACTCTACAGGAGCCTGAGCCCTGTCCAAACTGTAGTCTGTGGCCAGCAGGGTTTTAAACCCGGATTGATGGTTTTCAGATAAAACCAAACCATTTTGGATTCAACATTTCTGCAGGATTAACCCAAGGTGGTACGTCCTGCTCCCTGTACCACGGTACAGAAGCCATTTGGGACAGGGTTGGGCTGCCAGCACCCACATAACCCTGTGCAGGGTTAAAGGCAGTGGGGATCAGGATGCAGAGCTCTCCTTTGCTCAGCCACAGGCTGCAGGCTCTGGAGTGGGAGGTTAAATCCTGCTTTGCAGCACTGCTTGTACGTGAGATCTTCTCCCAGCTCCCACTGAAGTATGTAACTTGAAGCTCATCATTTGGGTCCAAACTCCTTAAAAGTATCTGGTTAATGCTTCCTTGTTCTGGATGTGTAGCCAAGGCTCTGGGTTGTTTTGGAATCTCCGAGGTGCTTTATTGGGATTTGAGGACATGCAAAAAGCTGTCACAGGCCATAGGGTCGCTGCTCATGACAGAGGAACTCAGTGGAGGGTGTCCATCACCGCCGTTCCAGGGAAGTACCGACATGCGTTAGCGATGCACAGCCAAGGAGCATCTCCTGAAGGCTGCGCCCACACTCTCATTCAAAAAACTGAGCAGGGCTCACTATTTTGAAAGGTGGCAGGTGGAAGTGGGCTGTGTTTTTACCCAATAAATATTTTATGGTTAAAAAAAAAAAAAAGGAGCCATTCCAAGAGCAGAATCAAGCTGTTTCTCCAGCTCTGCTCTGCCTGCCTGAGAGCGGAGCTACAAATCTGCGTGTCCCTCAGTGCTCTTCGCTACCAGCCTGGTGGCCAACCCAGTAAGGCTTTCCAAGTTCCTCCTCTTGGAGCTGTTTCCTTCACATAAATATCTGGGACAGCTGAAGGACAGGATGAAGAGGGCACAAGCACACACATGTGCATCAGTATGTGTGTGGGTCACAAGTGGATCTCAACCCCTTAGAAAGAAGGGCTTATGTTCACTGCTTTATGTCTTGTGAGACTTGTTTTGTCAGGCAAGTCCTGTGAGGGCTTCAAGGTGGGATTGAAGGCTCCAAGCAAAATGAGGTCAAGATATGGATGGTTTTTGTATGCATCCCAGAGACAGACCTGCAGAGGCACCTGAGCTTGTTTTGATAGACTCAGTATGACTTAAACACTCATTTTCTCTGGGGATTTAGGACCAAGTAGTTGCACAGATGGAGGGTGAGTAAGAAGGGGGAAAAGCTTCCTGTGTCAGTGGCCACAAAGCCACGTTCCTGCCTAAGTCCTCAGAGGTGGCTTTCCTGGCAATGCTTCCCTCTATCAGCAACATGGAGCAAGACAAAAATCAAGAAGGGGCCTGCTGGGCTACAGTCAAGAGTTCAAAACTTGTCTATCCTCGTGTATTAAATGGCTTCTCAACATATCAGTGGTGCTAAATGTGCATGTCCACTGCCCACTCCTGAAGTGAAGCCCCTGTTAATGCCCCTGTTCCCAGGGAGGTGGTGTGTGCAGGACACCGGGGATCGTGGGTGCTGCATGTGTAGGGTGTGGCCATCCAGAGCACCTCCAGAGCCAGGTGCTAAATTCTGTCACAGAGGGGAGGGACCCAAACATCCAGCACTGCAGGTGAATATGCTCCAGGCTCCATAATTATCCCAGCCCAGTTTGGGACTCAGCACCCCCTTCACAGGCAGTTCCAGAGGTCCCAGTCTCCTCCCATACATCCAGGGAGTGTCTCATGGCTTTTGGACACTGGAAGTGGGTTAGTTTAATGGTTCATTATGTCAATCAGGCTTGTCCAGGTAGGAAGGTTTTCCAACATTCGTCTGTCTTTTATTTGTGGGTGATGAACACTTGTCCTGGTTCCCCAGGCTGGCAACAGGATGATTGCTTGGGCATAAAGGACATCAGCTCTTCTGCTTCTTTCTCAAATGACTGAGACCTGGGCAAGCAGGAAGCATTTCTGGTTTGAATTGGCTGATGGGAGGGAGGGACTGCAAAACCTCTCAGAAAACTCAACAGAGAATCAGAGAGTGGTTTTAGTTGGAAGGGATGTTAAAGATCGTCTCATTCCAACCCCCCTACCACGGGCAGGGACTCCCTCCACTAGACCAGGTTGCTCAAAGCCCCATCCAACCTGGCCTTGAACACTTCCAGGGATGGGGCATTCATGACTTCTCTCGGCAACCACTTCAAGTGTGTTTCCATTAGACATGTTTTCCATCAAACCAGGCTGTTATTTAATTTCAGCTCAGGGTCTGCCCCTGCCTTGTGTGTATAAGTGCTGCTGCAACTGGCTGCTTTGGGAGAAAATAAAATACAAAATGAGGTCTTTTGGAGGAAGGTAAGTGTTGGGCAAGGCTGACAGCCACGTAAAAACAGGGGCTGAACAAGAGCAGATCATCAATTAGATGTCCAGGGACAAATCACAGGATATAGAGTGCAGATAACAATGGACACAACTGTGGAGGCGATTGCAGAAATGCCCTTGTACCTGGGGATCAGGCAGTGTAGTCCCACCCTGACTTAGGGAGCAAATCAGGAAACCATCTTCTTAATTAATAAACTAAAAAACACCCATGAGAAAAGAAAATTCCTTTATTCTGAGAGGTGGGGGCTCTTACATCTCAGCTTGTTTTGTTTTTTTTTTTCTAAGGCAGACATAAAAAGACTCCATAATTTATTATTAGGACATCTGAATAGTTATTTATTGAGAAGCCACAGTTCTCACACTTTTACAACTGTCGGCTTGTATAAGGCAAAAAAAGCAAAATGGATCACTATTTTACACAGAAAGTAAAAGCTCTGGAGGAGGGACTGATGGACATGCAGTTACTGGTCAAAATGCAATGTACATGACATATATAAAAACCATTGTGAAACAGAGGAATTGTAAATTATGGTAACAATCTACTGAAATAAATATTCAATATATTATTATAAACACATTTGTATAGTCTAAGATTGTAATTAAAGTTGTCTTTGTACATACACAGTTATTTGAAATTTAAACAAAAATGTAACATTTAGAGGAGCAAATGTCAACATAAAACAACTGCTTTGGAGTTGTAATGTGGCATGATATATCCATAATGATAGGATTAATCTGGTGTGGCAATTAGAATGACTAATCCTCTGGGATGTAGCCTCTATGGAGTTAACTGCATATTGGAGGGAAGAGCCTGGTACATTAACAAGGATGCAGAATGATTCAAACGGCTGTCTGGGTTTGTTTGTTTTCTGGTTTTCAAATGAACAGAGAGAACAAAAAATCATTTGTAATTGCCTGGTTCTTCTTTTAAAAACAAAGCTGTTTTTTTATTAATTTTAAGCAGTTGGCATCCACAGAAGAGAAACAAAGAAATGAAAGGACTCGAGTCACTCATCTTCACAACAATTTACCATCAATGTATATACAGTACATTAATGAAGCATTGTTTAAACTTTAATAACAGGGACACACCTAGCATGTTTTCTATGTAGTTTTTCCATTAACAGTATTAAACAATGGTGCTCCATATTGCTTATGAACATATAGATATGAAATTAGGAAACTGATGAATCAAAGAGAGGTGCTAATCTTATTACCACACAGCTAACATGGCATTTGTATTGGTAAACTTCTCATGGGCATTGAGAGCTGACATAAAAATTCCTAATGTGGCTAACTGAGTTACAGACGAGGTACATGCACGGATACCAGGCGACCCCCAGCCTCCCTAGTCGTCCTCTTCATCTTCCTCATCGCTGTCCTTCATGGTGATCCCCTGGAGCCCTCCGCCTTCACTGACCGACGCCGTGGCCTCCTCTACCGTCAGCCGGTTCCGGATCGTCTCGTAGGTTTTGCTGTTCAAGGTGGAGTCCAGCACGCCTTGCAATCGGAAATCCCGGTATGTTTTCTAAAACAGGGAGAGGCACAGAGGAGGAGACAACAGGGAGAGGTCAGGGCCCACACCAGCTCCCCTGCTTTGCCTCAGGGGCCAGGCTGTGCCCCTGCGCCGGGGGGCTTGGGGCTGCTAATGGAAGAGGCTGTGATGCCAGGGAAATCCCAGCCCCAGGGACATTTTGCATCGCGCCCCAGACAATGCACTGGCCACCACTTTGCCATGGTAGAGGTTCCTTTAGGGTGCCTTGGGCAAAAAAATTTACAGCTGTGCGACTCCAGCCCTGCCTTTCTGGGCTTGCGGGGTGGCCGGGCTGGGTGGCTTCAAAGCAGGGACGTGCGGGGCTGCTCAGGGCAGCTTTGCATAGGGGAGGCTGGGGTCTAAAAAGACATCAAAGCAAGAGGTAAGGGCTCTGCTCCAGCTGACTTCCCTTGCTCCTGGCTGCGTCCATCCTGCCTGTAAAGTCAGTTATTTTCCCTCATGCAGCAGAACGCTTATTGCCCATAACCACAGACGTGATTACACGTTCCCGGAATGCTCCGTATTAAACAATCCTACCTACAGCATAGGGATTAAATAAACTAAGTCCAGGATACTGGAGGAAATTATTGAAGTATAAATATAAGCACACGGCACATGTTTCTTAAATCTCTCTTTCTTCACCTCAAATTGGAGTTGCAGTTCCATGGTTCCCGTATTTCCCTTGTTATTACAATTAACATCTCTCATTTGAATTTATGTTTATAAACTTTTCGACTCTGTGAGATAAAACTCTGGTCTCGTTGTTCATTTAATTCTGCTCTGTGCTCTGTGTGGAAACTATTTACTGTTCTGCTATTTCAGAAAGTCCTTGGGTTTGTTGTAGCTGCTTCTGAACGTAATATTGGTATAAATAAAGCACAAGAAAGCTTTCCTCAGCTAGCTGACAAGTAGAAATAATTTGTCTGTGCCTGTTGTTTTCAGTTATGAAAAGCACATTTAATACATCTCAGTTTTAATTTATTCATGCCTTCAATGTGTTCACTGCACGCAAGACCATAAACATTATAAAATACTAGACCAAAAAGCCTTAGATAGAACCTAAAATGATCAAAAATATATTTACCCCCTTCTGTGATCTTATTATTTCATGTAAACCACTGTGATTTCACACTGAAATAATTATCATTAGTCCAAGGCATGCACGCACACATATACACATACACGTGCCCTTAAGGAAAAAAAAATGCTACTTTCAGGGTATGTTATCTCACCTTTATGATCTCTTAGAGTTGATTATATACAGTCATTGTAAAAGAAACAACTTCAATTAACTATGAGAACAATCTAATTTGAATTCTGACAATAGTCACAAGCCATAGTTGGGCTTAAATGTTTCTAGTAAAACAGTGTTAAAAACTTTTGCATTGATTTAACCCATTTTAACACTGGAGTTCATTGGTGTGATCAGCAGGTTTGTCCCCAAAAAGGCTAATTTCAGTGCACTTACTTTACAGGTAGGGTCAAATAGCAAGAGAGTTTCTTTTTTTTCTTTTATGCAAGGAGTTACTTTGTTCTTACCTGCACACCTGTATTTTGCATCGCTATGCATTTCAATTTCCTGTGCTATCTGCCCTAGACACAACTATCTGAATTTTTAAAAAGAATTTTAATGAAAGGCTTAATTTCTTTGCGGGTGACAGTCTGCCCAAGACAACATGCCACACATGCAGGCACGCACACACGCTCCTCCCAGCAGCAAGGGGGAAAAACACGGGGTGATTACCTTTACTATCCTAATGAGAGTTTTCAGTTGGTAGATGTGGAGCTGCAGGTCCATGCGGTCTGTCAGCCAGGTGCAGACGACATTCATTGAGCTGGTGTACCATTGCTGCAAGAGAGACAGGACTTCTCCAGCAACCATGTCAGGGCTGCCCCCAGCACCCCGTCACACCGACCTTCCCCACCAGCCAGCCACACACTTAGAGGGGAGACAGGCATCTGCTTTTACACAGAATTTCCATGCATGAGCTTTTAAATTTTTATAATATTAACAGCAAGCTTAATAGGAGACCACCAGTAATGCTGCAAGATTTTGTAATCTGATTTTGCCATTGATGGCACTTGCCAGCGGTGGTGTGCATTTGGCTCAAGCCACGTTTTAACCTGTTTCCCCCCACTGTGAGAGCACAATTCTGCCTTTAAGTGTGTCAGTCCCACACTCAAGCTACTTACCATCTTCAAATTCAACCACAAACAGCCACAGGGCGAGTCTGGTTCCCTGAGAGTGAGCAGAGGGGAGGCTCGTGTGGGGCAAGGTTTGGCTGGGGGCAGAATGCTGGTGTAAGCACCTATGGGTGCCTGTCCAAGCTGTGTGGGAAATCCTTTGGTTTCATCCTCACAATTATGAAAAATAGAAAAGCAGCAAAGAAATGAGCTTGTTTCAAGCTGCTGAACTCACAGGGCCCCTCCAGGGGCTGAAAATTTTGCTGCTTGTCTGTGAAAAGGGCTTGCAGCAGTGTGGCAGCAGCCTGCCGTTCCCGCAGTGCAGGAAGTCTCCGGTGGGCTGTGGATCAGCGCCCTGCTCACGCAGGGCTGACATGGCACGTCTGACGCCACACAGACGAGCAGCGAGCCCTTGAGAGAAGGAAAAGCAGGGGCTGGGAGGGGGGGAATCACAGAAGCCTCCCCATGGCTCTCAGCACACGGGTTGGTTACAAAGCGGGCTGCAGACAGAAACCCATCACGCCTCTGTATGCGCAGTCGCACCCTTCTCGTGATCTCTCTTACACACAGAGATCAAAACCTTTACTGCAGACCAATTGCAATTAATCTAGAAACAGTTAAAAATACTCAAGAAACCCCACCAGACCAGTTTATGAAAATCCTGATCGAGCACTATCTAGGTTAGTGTGGGATGCAGCTCCTTCCCAATGAGCCTGAAGCCTCACATCGATCCAATACAGGTATTACTACCTCCCTCACTGCATCTTCGGGTGGGGGTCTCTGACACAGAAACATGCTCTCATCCCACTGGTTGTAGAAGCTGCTGGTTCAGCAGGTGAATGGAGACAACTGAACATGCTGTAATTGTGATTTTTTACCCTCCACCCTTCAACATTGGCACCCACAAGCTGGCACAAGGCTCACCAAAGCAAACAAACGAGTCTAAGCTAAACCAGCCCAGCATCACAGAAATGTGGGCTCAAAGCACATCACTGAACTGTATGGTAACACACATGGGAGCTGCCACCCTTCACCAGGAATAGTGAGCAGAGGTTAGACATGCTGCACGGAGAAGTGTTTTCCCCCTGACTTCAACAAAGATGTTCCCATACTTCTATTTCTACACCAGGAGGAAATAAAGAGGCAGAAGAGTCACCAAAGAAATGGCACACGGTAACCTCTTGCTCAGTGCTTACACGTTGTGCAACTTCTGGCAGTGATTCCGCTGACCCTTCATCTCCAGGATGGAAAGCTGGCAAGAGCTTGGATGAAACTAATGGAGGCTGGCAAGCAGGAGCTCTTGCCATAACCAAAGTCAAGCTCAGGCACTGTCAGCTGTCACTTGAGGTCCTGATGTCAGATGGGGTTGAACTGTGAGTGAAGCACCTTGGTTAAATGGTGTGGGCCTGACCAGCACAGGAGACATGAAGATCTGGTGGGGCTTCATACCTTTCAATCGTTCAGACTGAGGGGTCAGAGCATCTCTCGATATCCCCAGAGACCCCTCAGTGCTTCAACCCAGGACAGCCAGCAGTCAACTGGTGGTGGCACAGAGCAACTGCTGCCTGAGGTGCCTTGAAATGCTGCAGGTCCACGTGGGTAAAACAGAGAAATCATTAACGTTCACAACGCTGCTTTTCTGCCATCAGTGTGCTTAACTGAGCCATGTTCTTGGGTGACACTGGTTGTGATCTGGGGCTGCGCTGGCACACGGATGCCCAGGTCACCCAAACGCCTCCTTCTACCACCTCTTTAAATCAAAACCCGCAGGGGAACGGAGCGACCGTATGTTACACGTGCACGCCCTCGTCCTTCCGCTGCCGCCTCTCGTCTTCCACACAACGATCTGCCGGGTGTTTATGTCACCTCCTCAGGAGATGAGACGTCCCCAGCAGGGGCAGGTCCCGCCGTTTCTGTCTGTCCCACGCCACACACGCCTACACAGCTGTGCAGATCCCAAACAGAAATTATAACCTCTACCCTGGGGTTATGGCAAGGTGGCTTTGCTGCTATGAGACCTTCAGAGTAAGCAAAACATTTCTCTGTGTTTCTGGTAGGCACTTCAACATGCTGGATTCTGGGGAGATGCAAACTCCTCGGAGCCAAATCTGAATCACACCCTTCTCCTCTTGAGCACTGGCTGACAAGGGCTCAGCCAGGCACATTGCTCGGCTGCATGAAAGGAGCTCTCTTTTCTCAAAGCCAAGTTACTCCAAAGACTTTCTGCTTTATGAGAAAAAGACAAAGTCTAATTCATTGATCTTGATACACAAAACCGTCACGTCACTTCATAGAGCACACACCAACTGCTGAATTTAAGCCCTGCATATTCATAAAAATAAGTTAGCCCATAAATTAAATGTTCCCTTTAGCTATCACTAGTGTTGATGTGCTATAAGACGCACAAGCCCTCTGATTCATGACTAACCTACCAAAGAAGATAACATTTGCATATGATTATATTATTAAAAAAACAAAAACAAAGCCAAATGCTCCTAAACAGAAATGTGATCATCTCAGACAAAAGAGCACAGAGTGGTCCTGTGGGGACACTGGCCACCTCGCTCTCCCTGGGGGGGTCTGCCATTCCCTCCAGGGCAGAGGGGTACATGCCAGGGACACAGGGTTCCTTGGGGATCCAGCTCCAGCCTTATGGCTTGTTCCCATAGATGAGATGCAGAGGTCACAGCCCAAATACTGAACTTTGGGGCCTTGCCATGGGGCTGCAACACATTTCAGGCACATTTCTGGAGCCCCAGCACAGCTGTGGCATGGGCACACCAAAGTAAATTCTATAAATGTATTTTCTGAGAACTCCTCACACCTGGTTGTAAAGAATGAATAGACCTCACTGATGGTTATGGACCAAACCCCATGTATAACCTACTGTGGTACACACACATTACTGGTGCAAACTGGCATCCCTGTCTGTCACCTGGAGGAAAACACACTCAGTCTAGGGGCACAGCATGAGGAAAGGCTGTGGAGGCTGCATCCTGGTGGATGCATGGTGGATACCACACATCCACTGGGACATCAGCAGGGAAGGGAGCAGGTCTCTGGCAGAGGCAAACCACAGCCCCCATTGCCTGCTGCTGCACACCATGACCCAGCTCACAGCAGAGGAAATGCAGATGCTTTTTGGGTGCTCTCAGAGTCCAGGCACAGCAAGCAGACGTAATTGCATGGCCAGGAATTCAGTCCCTCTTTCAAGTTAGTTTTCCAGTTCTCCTTCTGTATGTCACAGTGACCCTCATTGTTGGGTGCTAGCCTGCGTAGATCAGATAGGCCATGGGCTGGCTGGGATGCTGCAGGATGGGCATTAGAGGACCTGGAGCATGCCAAGGAGTGGACTACCATGACTGCCCATCCAACACCCCAGCCAGCTCAAGCATTAAGCTTCCTTGTTCCCTGCCTTTTTTTCTGAATGCAAAAGCATGATCAATAAGTTGCTGAAATAGCAAGTTTGTCTCTGAATACATAAATTTCAGAAATTGATATGAATAAATCTGCAACTAACACACTGAGTGTGGCACATTTTATCAAAAATCAGCCCTATGCTGGGTTCCTGCGCTTTCCGGGAGGTGGTGTCATTACACATACCCAGGAACATCTGCAAACCCCCGTCTTCTTTGGTGTGAGCTGAATGGAAGCATGACCTCCTGTTCCTTGCCATGAACCTTGAGTTCACACTCATATTTTACATGTTACAGGAAGCCACAGCTCACTCC